ATCGACAAGTCGCGCTATTAATTTTCCGACCTCTTTCGACGTTACGTTTTAACCGCGCGATCCTTTACGGATATTATTAATCACGCCGTGTGCTTCTCTATCGCCGCCATTATATCGGCGAAGTACTCGTAATCCCATTGTTATTACGAGAAGTGGAAAAGAAACACGCAGAGAAAGAGAAAGAAAGAAAGAGAGAGAAAAAGAAAACGAGGAAGAGGAAAGCGACTCGGCTCCGGAGGGCGCCCGCGAACGAAGGCTAAAGAAGAAGAGGAAGAGGGTAGCGTCTCTTCACAGGTGTCGCTTCAGAGCGCTACCACTGGAGGCCACATTTGCTCCTGGTACCGCGTACGCGAACGGTAAACCTGGCACTTCGATGCCGGTACTCGACTTCGGCCAGCCAGTCGCGATTCATTTTGAACATCCATTAGCGGAATCTTTGGTTTGATTATAAGACGGTATATTGCGGTGTCGCGTATGGATTTCATATGAGAAAGACGACTACGAAGAATGTGAAGAATCAGCGCGAAGTTACCGCTCTTGAGTCTGCAAGTGATGGACCGGTTGCTCGATTAAGGAGGCACCGGTTCAAAAAAGGTGCGCGAGCTTCTTCCTTGATATACCTGTTCATTTAAAGCACATTGTGAAGCGCATTGTGACATCATCAACGCTGAAAGAAATATGTGTATGTATTGTCATGTTGATTGCCCGTTTTCCTAAATGACTTCATCAAGCAGTTGCGTGGAATTCGAGAAGATAGTGATAAACTGCATGCAGCAACACATATCATGAACATCAAGTGCATTATAGACAAGTATAATTAATTGAGAATAATTTACACAAAGATATAATCTATAAAAATATTATTGTTCTCGATTATAATTCAACATTCAATTCAACGATATCTAAAAAGAAATAATGTAAAAATAGTTCGAGTGGACTGAACGATTGGATTCGTATTATTAAAAATGTGATCTCGATCTACGGTCCACGGAAATGAGAAGCGAAGCGACACGCCGCAGGCAAGATGCAAGATAACATCGGTCGATTGCCGTTTGACCGGAATTAACCGGTGGAACCAGAGGACCAGTTCGACTATACATTCATATGGCGGAGCTTCGTGCGTGCGTGCATGCGTGTATAACGACGACGGCCGTTATGTAATCGACCGCGGCGTTGATCGCGCTCATAAACAATATAAAGACCGGTCGTTTAACGGATACTTATTTTCCGTATTTATGATAATGCCTCGAACGTGCGGATAACATTTTCCTGTCCGACGCAGTATTCTCAGCGATAGAGAAAGCCATTGAGAGACGACGGACACATCGATACACAGCTCTACAACGTCGAGCACAGTTTTTTTTTTTTTTTTTTTTTTTTTAATATACGCGCGGTACCGGATGCGGCGAATTCCAAGAGACCATGAAGAACGTAGATCGCGGTAGGACAATCTCGGCGTAAGCTTTCGACGCGGTGCGACAGATATGGACGACGGCGTGCAGAACGGGCTGCAGCCGGACCAGTGGTTGCCAACCTTGGATAAAGGGGAGAAACGAACGAGCTCCCTTGGCAGCGGAGCGTTGCGCTTTATTCGTACGCGTAGCAGCATTCGGCGAGAGCTCAAGCGACAGTGCCATCGGTAAGCAATTAAAATTATTCGAATATTAAAGAAATTATGGAAGAATATATTAATCTAAACTCTTTGCAAATCGATTATTAATAGTCATGACGAAATTGCAAAGAGGGGTGATGTGTATCATAAATATATCTTTATAATATGTATAAATTATAATTAAAAAACTAATCAAGTTATTACGTATATAAAACAGATTACTATATACATCCAAAAAAATTACCACTAAAATATTAAAATGTATTACGATAAAACTAATCTAGTTTCCATCCAATACTTAACGAAACTCGTATATATATATAATTAAATAGTTAGAAAAATTCATTCAAATTTATGTCATTCTGCTCGCTTTCTTAATGAACAGGCAGGGTGCTTAATAGAAAATGTCTCGTATCGGTTTTCGAGCGCGTATTGTTTCAAGCAGGTAATAATTATCGCGATATCGTTAGTTTCGTGACTCAAACGAAAGCGTTTCTCCACATCTCGTGTCGTATTACTCTTCGTAGTCGACTTCTCGCGCGCGTACGTGAGCGCATGTACGAGTAGGTTGGTTGAGACCGGCTTCGCGTTTCGGTCCTTTTGGGACCAACGTTGGCTGCCGGCTAAAAGGACCGCAGAGAGTGAACCAAGCACAGCACACGACTCTCCGAGTCCGCCGCAACAGGAATGCTGAATGACTTGCGACTCGTCACGCTGCCAGCAAGTTCGCTGGCGTGCGAAGGTTCGCGTATATAATCTCTCTCGGCGACTTTGTCCGACTGTATACGTCGCATACGAATGCGCTAATACCGCCGATATTTCATTCGTTTGCTCGGGCACATTGGATTATAATTAATCGATGCACAGAGGAAACCACGAGCATTTTCTCAACATAATTGGCAGCGTAACGTTTGAGATAGGATATAATTGACGATCGATAATATCGTAAAACATAACAAGAGATAACGTCATAAACGTTTTACATCGGTGGAGATGATAGCGCCGCTAGAAAATATTATTTTATAAAGTAATTTAAGGAGTTTAGTAATTGACAAATTAAAATAGATATTTTAATATTTTATCTTGATATTTTATATACCGTTGGAGAACCACTTTCAATATTCTCTACCACATTGCACAATTTAATCGTTCGCATCATTAGATAGTAAAAGCGCTTTATAATCACAATCCTCTCTCTCTCTCTCTCTAGTTTTTGCAATGTTGCTAAATTATAAAACTATCAAGAAATGGTTTGTAATTTCTCGAAATGTCTTTACATTATCTTGGACATATATAATCAAAGCGTATTATACGCCCGACGAGCTTATTCGAGCTTAACTAACGATGTAAGCAATTAGATCGTTTACGAGGAGTTGGGTTTCCGCATACGATAAGGTTAATCGACCGATTATTATCCGTTGTGTCGCGCTAAACGATGCACCTGAAAACTGGCAGATATGGCTTTGGTTGGAAAATATATTTCGCTCGCGTATGCGGAGAGAATTCCAGGGATCTATTACACCCGGCGTCATCGCGTAATCTGCTAGCGAAAGATCGGCATATTCTCCGGATTATACGGGATATGCCGTTTGATCGGCAGGCGGAGAATGAGCCGAGATGAACCAGGAAGTAGAAGCAATCTGTAGAATTCGCGGTCCTTGCAGTGCGTGAGAAGACTCGGTGCGATTAGTTATAGAAGCTCCGACGGAATCTGAGACACTCAGTAATCTTACGGGCGGACAGGTTCATGATATTGCATTCCACAATAACGCGACGGTGATTTCGCTTACATGCCGACGAAGTAATTATCGTTTATGATCCGAGAAACAGCTACGCGCGATATTTATATTGACACGGAGACCTCACGAATCCGAAAATTCTGATTTTGATGGAACTTTACACACATGTAAATAGATGAATTTAGAAATTTTTAGTTGCAGCTCAAAAACGATTCTAAGGGGTGAAATCATCCCTCATTAGTAGAGCGGCTTTTTGTTTTTTCTCGATATATCTCGAAAATTATTCTAGTGTATAAGAGTGTATAAGTATCCAAAGATTACGAATGATAGTGACAGTTCGATTGCTACAACGAAATTGAATGATATTTAACGCGATCAAGTTCGTAATAGTATTATCAAAATTATGAATTCAAATTTATTTGTGTGTACACATTTATATGTAAAATACTATTTCACTCAGAAGACGCATCTATAATATATTATAATCTTCTATAAAATCTACGGAATTTAACGATTTTATCCGGTGCCAAACGGGAGGTAAAACTCGATATCGTGCACCACCTAATAGAAGCGGATGGAATTCTAACGTGACCATGAATTTACGTCATGAGACGTATCAAGTTACCCATTCGACATCGTCGCAGAGTCACGCGGTAGATGAAATTCTCATATTCCGGACGTAATAAAGTGCGCCTCGGTAAGTTACAGGCGACATAAATTCTAGATTAGCTACAGGGGGTAGAATGGGCCGCAGCGCGCTGCGGTGCTGTATTTAAGAAATCTTTACCACCATTCTATTCCTCGGGCTCGACCCTCACATCCGTTTCACCTGCGGGATACATACTACTTGTCGGAGCGAGGTGGATGGCTCCGGCCTCGCGGAAGGAGGAATGACGACGTCGCGCTTATAAGGGAGGACGCGGTCCGCGCGATCGAGAACGGGAAGAATTATCGCAATATATTCTGTCTTTTAAAGTCTGAGGATGGAGGACCGACCCGAAACGCCCTGCTTGTTCGAGAGGCCTCCGGTTGCGCATAATAAGGTGCGGAGACTCACGACGAACTCCGGCTTTGACCGCGGAGGTCCTGAGACGGCGCACACGTACATACACGTACGCAAAGGCGCGTACATGCACACATATATACATAACATGTCGAGAATCCAAACACTTCCGTGTTGTACGACTAATGAATCACCTTCGCTGGCCGAGCCCTTTCACCCTCCTCCCCGACACTCTTGCCCTCCGTCTCTCCTCCGCGCAAGCCTTTCGATTGTAGGTTTCTTCTTGCAATCAGGCTTCTCATACCGGAATGTTTATCGGATGTATTGGAATTCGCGATAAGGTCTGACCTTATCGACACCTCCAGACCGGCTTTCGACAATGCCAGCATCGCCGGTCGACGAACGCACATCCGCGCGCTTATTATTTGTTCTTTCAATAAAACTCTACCGATGTCATTTGCAAGACCCCATCCCTTCGCGATAGAAATGCGGACCCTGCGTACAGATATATGTATGATAACGTTAGCAAGAAAACTTTACACGTATGCGAGTAAGCAAACTCCGTCAGCAACGCGTTTGCTCGATTTAAATGGAAAACATATTTGCATTTCTCGAACGATACTGTCGATAAATTTAATTGCCAATATACGATTTTCCCTTTCCGTTTCTTTTTTTTCTTTGATTTTATTTATTGCGCAGTATATCATGCATTTGTCATGATAACCTGTACCGTCATACACATTTGTGCTGTAAAAAGAAGTAATCGTATTCTTATCAATGCTAATGTTTACATAATCAATTTTGCAGTTGTGCGTATAATACATGTACGATTAATTAGTGCTTACAATTATTAATTATCAGATGCGTGAACCGTTATGTATTTAATCTTGATAATTATATGACATATGAGCTTATAATATAATGTTTTCATTAGAGAATACCATGTTTATCTACGCACTCATCCATTACAAATCATCTCTGCATTTTTTTCTTTATGCATCACGATATCATGATATAATATTTTCTATAGCTGCGATCAACATCTTTATAAAATATGATATATAATAATTATGTTATGAAAATAATATACATAGTATTGCATTCAATAACACAAGTATAGAATACTTCATGTAATGCGAAAATATTTATTATACATTTAATGAGAGAGAATTTATGAATGAATATGCATTTGCTAAATAAAAAAATATACATAATTTAGAGGAGTTAGGGATATTCTTCGATGTAAAAATAGAATTTTCGTAATGTGACAATTGAATAGTTGATATCAGGCCGAACAACGGCAGACAAATTTAGATGGGCTAGGATTATAATACGTAACGAGACAATACAGGTTGTCCAGCGTACAAGTTCGATACCTGTATCTAAATCTCAAATTCCGTGTACGGTTCATCGGAGCCGACCTTACTGCCACGATCTCAAACCATTACTCATAAACATTACGTTCAGGTTCAGGCACCGATATTATCCGATGAAGGTTGATAAGACGTTTAGACGGTTTCTCGCGAGTTATTCGCATTTCCTTGTATATGTACTCTTATATATACACTAACACGTATTGTGTCAATGATGCAGGCACTCGATAAGCAAGGATGTGCTTATGAAACTTGGCACCTCGTTATCTATCTTCGAGATCTCGAAAGGAACGAAAAATTCGATAAACGGCATGATATTGTCTATCATGAGCTTATGTAATCTAGTTATAAATCCTCGCAAAGTCTACACGAGTCTGTACGATCAGCCATTTTCGTGATCTGATTCTATGTTAAATTACAGTATTAGACGATAATAAACAATATTCCAATATGCGAGAAAAAGTCGTTACTTTAAAGATATTGAACAATATATTACATTATAATCCATCAATTATGTTTGTCTTATTTATTAATACTATAAAAGAAACTAATTTTTTAATAATATTTATATTAAGATATTGGAGCAATGTTCCGCTTGCAGATTTATGATTGTTTCCGCGGAGATCATTGGTGCATAGTTTTGCAATTTTTCTTTGTTGCATGATTTTATAGTTATTTTGAAATTAAATTCTCCACAGCCAATATCGTTATCCAATATAATATGCGACGGGGGCATATATGGCATGAGCTTCTTTTTTCCCTGCATTAATGAATAATTCAAATATTATATAATATTATCTTAAATTATTTCAATAATCGAGCTTTTAACTTACAGCAGGTATAGGACAATGCAGTCCTTCCACATTGAAAACGCGTGAAAATCTTAATTTAGACAAAATGCTATTTTGATTTGTAACTTCTTCCTCTAAAAGTTCACACAATAGTATAGGATCGTTCGGAATAAGAAATTTTACGCCATCAAATCTATCCACCATAATATCAAACTAACGGAGAAAAAAAATAGTTTATATCATCGATATAGAAAGCATAAGAATTTTTTATATTTTATAAAATTAATAAGAAATATATATTCTCTAATAATATGAAATACAAAATTGATGATAAATTTTAAATAGAAAAAATTTTGCAACGCTCAAATGAATCTTGTATTTAAAGACACCAAATTTAAGATTTGTCTTTATCTTTTTCGAGTTAGATTGTGACAAATTATTATTGTTATTACAAAACAATATTTTATTTATAAAATCTTATTTTTTATAAAATATAAATACAAATATACAATGTATAGTTATTTATTATTATATTGTTATTTTTATATTTACGATATTTTTATATAAAGATATTTTCTATTACTCACGCATAATTCGTCAGCCTTCAGAATTTGTTTGGCAATTTTTAAATACACTGCACTATTATTACTTGATTCTGAGATTTCGAGAGAGAAAATAGGATTGTAAAAAACCGTCAACGATTCGTCCATGATTGTGCTGGTATATTCAATGAGTGCCTGTAACGTGACGTAACGTCTTCTTTGTGTCTTTAAGAAATTTTATCAGAGATGTTTCTTTTATTAAAAATTTTCTTCAACAATTAAATATTTTATATTTGTGTGTGAAATACTTACAATGGAACGACTGATGATATTAAGTAATATAGTGAGAACCAGTATCGACAACATTTCGCTTTCAAGTCAGTGAGAATATCGAGAAAATGCTGCTTCACAAGCTCGTGCAACACGAATAGACATTATACAACAATATTCGTAACTTCCATGGTCCTAATATTATGCAATTAAAATTATCATTCTCACCTACCATTGGTCGAGCCATTGTATAAACGGTCTCTTATCCTGAGGCGGGAGACCCTCGCTTCGAGCACGTTTCGTAACAAAAAATTGGTCTTGTAATGACCAATAACGTAATTAACTTCCTGCCAATTCTAGAAATTAATTGGTTCACGTGTGTAAAGTGCTTGGCTGGTAAACGCAGTTATCTTTGCTACCTCGAATAAGTCGATGATGCGCGTTTGAATAATGTGCACAGGTACTTTTATGCGTGTGTGTACGTGTTCTGTCGTCGTGTACCGTTATCAGTACCGATCGGATCACGAGAGACGTCAAAGAAAAGAACACCGTGATAAATAGCATCGCAGGAGGACCCCCATCCTGATCGCGCCCTCAACTACATTTCAGTGGTCTTTTAAAGGAAAGTGACGAGATTGAGAGAGAATAGCGAGTAAACGAGCTCTCGGTATTGAAATCTCGATTAAATCCGGCACGTTGACCGCATTCGGAACCTTTTGAATGTCATTCGAGCATTACGAGACGCCGATTTTAAGCAACCGGTTGGTTCAGTTTTATCTACTCGCGCATTTATTACGCAAAACAGCACTTAACGATCACAAACGAATTGGAAATAAGCAGGCGTGAAATTCAACGATCCGATCGCGCTTTGCGAACCATTATTTATTGTTCGCGTCGGACAATCGAATTTTCGATGACGCACGCGAAACACATCGGCGATTCGAATATTCTAATCTGCCAGCTCGTCTCCTATTATGCCATACTTAGAACGCAAGGTATAATTTCACAGACAATTCGCCACGGAGGAGGTAGTATCTCGCAAACCGATAATGACTCTCAAGGAGGTTTCAGGTTCAGTGGAGTATCCTCTCATGACGGGCAATGTCGGATAAAGATCTAAGTACTTGCATAGCTGTATATACAGCGCGCTGAAGAAGATCCTTAAATACTACCAAGGTAACGAAGGTAAAGGTTTCTCTCGTGACGTCCGCTTCGGCTTGAGCCGTCAGGGGTCAGTGAGCGCTCCGGTCGGCAAACCCGGGTCTGAATTCTCGATCGTTTTCTTCTCCTTCCTGCTGTTCCTTTTTTCACCTCTGCCATGTTTCTTTTATTTCCAGAGAAAAAGAGGAAGAGAGAGAGGAAGGGTCTCAGTACTTTGGACGAATATTCCACTCTGATAAGCTCTGCGATACGATTTATAGACTAGCCTCGGGACGAAAATTCTCTTCTCTCTTTCCTTCTTTCTCTTTCCGTTCCTTCTTTTTCTCTCTCCTTCGAAGTAGAAACTATTAAGCATGGTCAACCGCGGCGCCACGGTTGGAGGTCAAGCGGAGGAGAGGATGAAGCGCGATTCGTCTTGATCTCGTACTCTCGGAAAGTACAAGTGGGAGTTATAAATTGCACGAAGGAGCGTGCAAGTCGTTGACGTAACACCAATCCTTGGATTGATGTGGCGAATCCCGCGGTATATCGCTACAGTCTTGAGGCCCCTCGACAGGACAGTTTCTGACGTCCTCGATTATTATAGCGTGGGATTGATTGGGTTTTGCGAGTCTTGCGAGAATTACATAAAGAGGTTTTGAAACGTTCAAATTTGTCGGAGATGAAATAAGTCAGAATTAACTCTTGTCTACATAGTGTGGGAGGCAAATGAGCTGGATCTTTTAACTGTGCTTATTTTCTTGTCTGAATAATCTTCTTTTATGGGAGACTTTTTAAATTCTTTTGTGTACTTCTCCTTTCTCAATTTATTCCAGCTGATTTTTTATCTGATTAATTCTTTCATACGCTATTTTAAAAACTATTTGTTTTTTTTACATGCACAGTTAAAGCTTAATACAGGAATTTAGAAATAATAATTTAAATTTCAAAAGAGAAAACATTTCTTGATTCTCTTTCTTTATTACAGCTATCAATATAAATGTTCCTCAGAGTACTGGCTTATACTAAATCGTGCTTGCCTAATGATATTAAGAGAAAAGCAACTTTCGATGCTCGATTGAACTGAATGTGTATCCAAAGATACATTTGAGAATGAAGTAAGAAAGAAGCTACTACAGAGCGCATAGTATAATTGATTGCAGGTAGGAGTATTTTTTCAACCGAATCTGCAGGTGTTACCAGCTACACTCACGTAAAGACATTCGTTAAATTGTCTAACGCGAATAAGACGGGACGCGCTCGACCTCAAGTATTACGCGGAAAATAAATTGCAGACATGTTCAGAAACTTTCTAACGCCCGCCTACACCTAAACATCGTCTTTGTAGTCTCATCCGTATCCGCGCCGTATGTCCATAGATCGCGGCATAAGTTCAACGTCGTGCCCCATAAAGAGTCGCGCGCGCATTTCTCCCCGTCTTTTCTTCCAGCGGGATACCGGACGTTGCAAAGACCAGCCGTCACACACGATCGTGCTACCGTGTCGAGTCCGTGTGGCAATATACAGAATGCGAAAGTGAAATTGTATATGAGATTAGCTAACAAAGAGCTGCAACCGCTTCAAAGAGATTTGCGATCCGAGACACCTCGCTTTAGATACGTTCCCCTGCCTCCTAATCATCGGGGGAGCGGTTTATCGCGAAGTCATCGCGATCGCTCCCACGCAATTTTACAGCGCGACAGGTCTTGACGAATCGACTCCATCCTCTTCGAGACCCTCCTTTAAGCCAAGTCTAATAACTCAGCGCCGATAATCGTTGCATTAGACCTGTCCGTTAGACCCGACCTCGTGAACTTCGTTCTACTCATACTACACCATTCGGTACACAACTCGTGCAAGTCGACTCGTGTAAAAGGATCCCACCTTTTCCCACCCTCTGCTCTTCCAACGCTGCCTCCTTCCACGCTTCCATCGGCTTCCACCGGCGTGATCTCGCGGGAAATAGAGCAGCGCTTGATTATATTCTGAGTGGAGACTGAACCTAAGTGAACTCGCCTTAACTGTGATACGGTTCGCATCATGAAATGCCTTTTGCGGCTCGTTTAATATTAAAGATGCGCAGATGAGCGAAACTAATCAAAGCTGCAATGAACATTATATATCTATAATTTGCGTCTGAAGTGCAATTTCATCTAAATAAATGATCGCTTCGTAATCTCAGATCGTTCTATATTATTTTTTTCTTTCATCTTCCTTTTGTTTATTACACATTTTCTTTTGTATCTTTATATTTTTAATGTATATGCGTCCTCGGGCACTTCTGAACATTGCATGCAAAATTCATCTCTGGTTTAATGCCTCGACGAAGTATATGGATTAGTATTTCATACATTGTGTTTATTTGATCACAGAGTTTTACTTCCTGGTCACGGTCTTGTCTCCTTTAATATCTCTCTCGTTGCTGTTAAATCGGTCACTGCCTGTCACTTTTCAAGCAGATGCGCAGTCACGATGCATTCCGAATCGCTGAAATCTCGCGGTCGCATTCCATCGTTTTACTTTCACACGTATTTTTAGTTACACCGTGCGCGAGATGCACATCACGTGACAGTTTCGAATCGTGAAGAATCAGCGAAGGAGTTGTATAGCGATTGATTTGTCGGGCGCAGAGTCTCGTGCTCCTACATGTAGACTGCAATTTCACTTCTGCGGTCGTGTCGCGCCTTCCAACGTTTTTGCCGACACCAAATCTGACACTTCCTGAATCGTGTTTGCGGAATCTATACGAAATCACGACTAGGCCCGTGTTATCCCGAGCAAGATAGCGCCGGGCGTGAGTCTTCGTGTTTCTTTACGTCTTGCTTGTCATATACTTAATCAACCTGCCACTGCCAGGTCGAAATCCGCGAGAGAACCGCGAAGCGCGACGTAACTCACATCTTAGGTTCTAAGCGCTAGTGACCTGGAAGCGAGGCTACGTAATGAATATTTTATAAGGAACAAGAACTGGTCCCTCTGTTGAACGGGAGCTGCTCGACTTGCAACACGAAGCTCCTTTATTTGCGATTTCAATTTGCCTGCTCCGCTAGAGTGGATTAAAAAATAATAGCCGTTTCTCTCTTTTCTCTTGAATAATTTACATCTGAATTTAAACTGTTATTCTTGGATTTTTTAATTTAGATTACAGAAAACAAGAAAAATTTGATATGTAATAAAAATATATTTGATGTCATAAAAAATGTGAGTAACATTTTTTTCAAGTGACAATGAAAATTGGAATATATGCTATTTATAAATTTGTTAGAGTAAAATATAACATTGCAATAAAAGAGAGAGAGAGAGAGAGAGACATATATATGTAATAAAAAATAACAATGAGTAAATAATTTCAATAAATTCTTTCCATTTCTATTTATTTTATTATGTTTAATATTTCGCAAATTCGCGAGAACTATTGCAACTAGCAGTGATTATTGCTGGTGCAATTACGTTCGCTAGTTGATAAGCCAAGATAGCAAGTTTCATTCGCGCCTACAGGAGTGCATTTTTACAATTGCAAACGTGAGTTATTAAACATTATTATCGCACATATCGCATAAGAGAGAGATAAGCATCGTATATCGAGTCACGAAGACGGTTGGCCAAAGACGGAAAGAGGGAGACTTTACTCCCTCGTAGCAGCTGTACGAAGGGCTTATCTTTCCGTGAAGCTCGATCGAAAGGGCCGCGTTATATCCAGTAAGCGAGGCTTAAACGTCAAATTGTATGCCCGGTGGAGCGATCATCGTGGAGATATCTCCACCTCGTCGTAGACCGCCTGAAGTCTCAATTCCTCGTCGTAAGACTCCGTCGATGTGGTCATACGCGCGTTCCTAGGGCCTTCCACGCGATATATACGCCGCCGTATGTGCTCGACGAGTATGATTGGTACGTATTTCACGGTTTACGGCGGGATCATTTCAATCGAACATTATCGAGCCGGAGAAACCATAACGAGCCCATAGAGTTGCCTACGGTTACCCTGGAGCAACATGGCTAGCAATCAGCAATAGCCAAGCTATGCGCGGGATTCGCGATCGTATATATATATAATACGCGTATATATGTATACATGCGCACATATATGTACACATATATATGTGTGTGTACGTGCTGTGTACATATATTGTAAATATAAACATTTATACATACATGGTTACGTTATGTGCGTGCGCATATGTATACTTACGCACTGTCGATAAACTACAGCGCCATAAGACACTTA